GGGTGAATAGAGGGAACATACCTAAACATAATAATAGCCATATCTGACAAACACACTGCCAGATCATCGTCAATGGGCAAAAACTATAAGTGTTCTCCTTAAGATCAGGAACAAGAGAGAGATCTGCTTTCACCTCTCTTATTCAGCATAGTACTGGGAGTTCTAGCCACAGCAAGCAGCCAGGAAGAAGAAATAAGGGCCACCAAATTGGAAAGGAAACTGTCATTATCTGTAGATGACATGATAGTGTATGTAGAGAACCCCAAAGATTACACCAAGAAATTACTAGAACTGATAAATGAATTCAGCAAGGTAGCAGGATACAAAATTAATACCTAGAAATCAGTTGCATTTTTATATGCCAATAACAAACTAAGAGAAAGGGAAATGAAGAAAACAATCCCATTAACAATTGCTTTACAAAGAATAAAATACCTTGGATTAAACCTAACCAAGGATGTAAAAGATTCATACTTGGAAAATTATAAGACACTGAAGAAAGAAACTGAGGAAGATAAAAATATGTGGCAGTATATGCATGTTCATGCATAAGAAGAGTTAACATCCATTCTACCCAAAGCATTCTATAAATTCAACTCAATTACTATTAAGATTCCAATGACATACTTCACAGAACTAGAAAAAATATTTTAAAAATGTGTATGGAACCACAAAAGGCCCTACATAGATAGCAACAGCAATCCTAAGAAATACAAAGTTGGAGGAATCACAGTACCTAATATGAAATTATACTATAAGGCCATGGTAATCAAACAGCATGGGAATAGCATAAAAAACAGACATATAGGCCAATGGAACAGAATAGAAAACCCAGAAATAAACTTGTACCTTTATAGGCAATTAATATTTGACAGAGGAAGCAAGCACATACAGTGGGCTAAAGACAAGTTTATTGATTAAATTGTGCTAGGATAATTGGAGAGATATATACAGAAAATGAAACTAGACCACTTTCTTACAGCATACACAAAAATGAACTCAAAATAGATCAAAGACTTAACTGTTAGACCCAAAACTTCAAAAACAGTAGAAGAAAATATAGGCAGCAAAATCTTAGACACTACTCATAGTAATATTTTATCAGATATACCTCCCCAGGCAAGGGAAACAAAAATAAACTAATGGGACTACATCAAACTAAAAAGGTTTTGTGCTGCAAAGGAAATCATCAATAAGATGAAAAGACAACCAGACACATTGAAATTAAGAACAAACTGACAGTAACCAGAGGGGAGGTGCGAGGGGATATTAGGGTGAAAAGGGAGAAGGATTTTCAGGAACAACTATAAAGGACACATGGATAAAACTAAGGCAGGATAGAATCAGGGAAGGGAGGTGGGGATGGCTGGGGTGGGGGGAGTGGTGGGGAGAAAAGGCAGATAACTTTACTTGAACAACAGTAAAAAACTGATGAAAAGACAACCCATTGAATGGGAGAACATATTTGCTGATACATCATATAAGGATTTCATATCCAAAATTTATAAAGAAGTTACAAAACTCAACACCAAACCAAAAGAACAAATAATCCAATTAAAAAATGGTCAAAGGACCTGAAGGCACTTTTCTAAAGAGGACATACAGATGGCCAATAAACAATAAAAAAAGTTCAACATCACTAATAATCAAAGAAAAGCAAATTGAAAACATGATGAGATATCATCTCACACCTGTCAGAATGACTATCGTCGATAAATCAAAAACAACAAATGCTGGTGAGGATGTGGAAAAAGGGGAACATTTTTGCACTATTGGTGGGAATGCAGATTGGTGCAACCACTGTGGAAAGCAGTATGGAGTTACCACAAAATATTGAAAATGGACCTGTATTTTGACCCAACTACCCCACTTCTGGAAATATATCTGAAGGGACACAAAACACCAATTTAAAAGAACATAAGCACTTCTATATTCATTGCAGCATTATTTTCAATGACCAAGATATGCAAGCAGCTCAAGTGTCTATCAGTAGATGAGTGAATAAAACAACTATGGGACATTTACACAATAGAATACTACTCAGCCATAAAAAATTTTACCCTTAGTTGGTAGTGTAGATGGATCTGGAGAACATTATGCTAAGTGAATTAAGCCAGTCAGAGAATGACAAATACCATATTATTTCACTCATGTGTGGAATCTAATGAACAAACTGAACTAACAAGGAAATAGAGACAGACTCACAGATGGAGAGCAGGATGACAGCTAAGGCCGGGGGGAGGTTAGTGGGTGGAGAGATTGAGCAAAAAGGAAAAGGGACTCATGGACATGGACAACAGTGTGGTGATTGCTGGGAAAAGGGGGTTTAAGGGGACTAAATGGTAATGGAAAAAAATACAATAAAGATTAAATTTAAAACATTAAAAAATAAATGTCTTTAGAATTGCAAAAACATATAATAACAGATTAACCAAATAACAATTTAATGCTCTATCATGAAACACCTATACTTTAAAAAATTAGGAGCTTTGGTGGGTAACACAAATATGGCATAATTTTTGGTGGGAATTTCAACTTTCTATCAAGTGAGAATGAATAACATATCTAAATAACTCCTGAAGAAATGCCATCAAATGTAAAATTTAAGTAATTCCAAAAGCATGCTTAGCAGTCTAAAATGATATACAAATCAAATATACTTAGTTGGATTAATTCAAATCTCTCATATTTTAAAAATAATTTTAGCAATGTTTAATTTAATCTAGAATTTTAATTATTAATTGAAAATACTAACACTGGTTTTGTTTCTGAGAAAACACTAAGTGGGGGATGACATGGGTTCTGTGGTAGGGCCCTGAGACCCTGGGTCCCTGGGGCCCTGGAATGGGAGGCCACAGAGGCTTCCATGAAGAATTTGGCAGCTGGCATGCAGACTTGAGTTTGTAGCTTGGGTTGGGTCTGGGGCCAAGGCCACAGAGCTCTTAGTGGCAAGGCTGAGGATGAGGATTTGATCCCTGTCACCAAGCTGGGCCACCTGGTCAAGGATATGATGATCAAGTCCCTGGAAGAGATCTTCTTCTCCCTGCCCATCAAGAAACCTGAGATCATTGACTTTGTTCTTGGGGGCATCCCTCAAGGACAAGGTTTTGAAGATTATGCAATTGCAACAACAAACCCGTGGTGGCCAGAATACCGGGTTCAAGGCCTTTGTCGCTATGAGAAACTACAATGGATGTGTCAGTCTGGGTGTTAAGTGCTCCAAGGAGGTAGCCATTGTCATTTGTGGGGCCATCATCCTGGCCAACATCTCTGTTGTATTTGTGTGACAAGGTTACCAGAGGAATAAGATCAGCAAGCCTCTCACCATCCCTTGCAAGGTGACCAAACACCATGGCTCTGTGCTGGTGTGCCACATTACTTATCCTAGGGCCACTGTCATCAACTCCACCCCTGTGCCCAAGAAAATGCTGCTGATGGTCAGTATGGACAACTGCTATACATCATCTAGGGGTGCTGCACTGCCACCCTAGGCAACTTTACCAAGACCACTTTTGATGCCATCTTGAAAACCTATAGCTGTTTCACCCCTGACCTGTGGAAAGAGATCATGTTCACCAAACACATCCTATCAGGAATTCACTGTCCATCTTATGAAGACCCACACACCAGAGTTACTGTGCAGAGAATTCAGGCTCCAGCTGTGGCCACCACATAATTTTATACAAGAAAAATAAAGTGAATTAAGTTTGTTTGAAAAATACTAACACTAAAACTTTGATTTAAAATGTCCTTATTGGTATAGGAGCTATAGAGCTAAGAAATATGAAAAGAACCATAAGGAAAGGTGCTTTATATTGATGACTGTCATAGCTGGAATTTGTTCATAAGGTAATTAAATCAATTCATTTCATAATAAAAATGAGTTGAGTTCACCTAGAGATTTGATGACACATCTGCTCTCCCTGAATTTCACTCTAAGGTTTTCCTGATTACTCTAACCTGTGAATGCAAAGCAAAATTTTGCAATTTCAAAATATTTCATCTACATTGTGAAAAACCATGTGTGAATTGATATCAAGGAATTCCAGGCAACTATGCTCTTACTAATGTTAACTTAAAACATTGGAGAAGAATATAAAAAAAGGAGAGAAGAGTTTTAACACAACAATCTCATAAATACAAGTCATACCTAATTTTCTTCTGTAGGCTAGTAATTTTCAAGTGACTTTTTGCAGTAGCATTTTGTAATGAAATCTTACAGGAGACCTCAATATAAATAGTTGAAAGTTGAACAGTTTTGGTGAAGATGGAAGAAAAGCTTTGTTAGGTTATTTCCTCCTTCCCATCTTTCCACCATAGCAGCACTCCTAGGAATGCCTTGTTGAACTATAGGGCTGAGCTTCTCCAATAGGACAATGTGTTATCTGGACACATCAACATCGGCCACACAATTTTCTCAAGTTCTAATAAATTAACTCCATAGTCATTGTGTAGTTCTAAGCTTAAATTTATGTTTTTGAGAATCACAGAGTGTAGAAGTCAGAAACTTTGGTGAGTACTAGAATGAAAATGCCTTGCAGAAGCAGAGAGAAGAGGTCAACCTTCAATTCTCTGGCTCCTGTGTTCCTGAAATCCAGCTGTCTTCTTGCCTTCTCCTTAGGCTAGTAGTTCAAACCTTCCTTCAAATTTCTTTTTGCTGAAAACTAGTTAAAGGTTCAATTCCTTTATTTGCAATCAATAGTCCTAACATAATACAAATACCATGATCATATTTTTTCTAACATTTATATAAGCTGTTTCATGTGACGTAATACAAACATGTACATGACAGTTTGTTCTGGTTGACATGAAAATTCAGTGAGAGAATCTGGACTATAAAGCAATAATTTCAATGCAAAAAATGTAGTTAACTATGTTTCTGCTTGATCAATGATTCTATAAGTCATTCTGTGGGAGGTGTCACCAAAACTAGGTAAACTTTCTATCTGCTGTCTCCTAAAATACTTCATTTTTCCCATTTATTTAATTTCACTGATAAGGGAGAGAGCCTGACTGATCATTCTGTGAAAGCAAAAACAGCTGCTTGGAGAACTGGAGAAATTAAAGATTATTCACAGGATATATCTTACTTGGAGGAACTGGAAAAACACAGATTTTCTGTTTGGTAAGTAACTATTTGCTATCTATTTTAAAATTTACATTTATTGAATTCAACAAGTCTTTATTCATTCTATTCTTTTATTATTCATTTATTCAGCAGATATTGATTATATACCTATTACATGCTATAAAATTTGTGTCCTGACTTGAAAAGTTCATAGTCCAATGAAGTATATGGATGTTAAAAACATTAATATAATTTGATAATATTATTTTTAATAAAAATTGCCACATTTACATGTGGAGAAAATGATGGCTAAATTGATTAGGAATAGAGAAAAGCTTTCAGTAAAAGTTTGAGCCAAATCTTGGCAGGGAGGACCACAATGGAAAAATGGTGAGAATTTGGTGTGGACAGTATCTGGAGATGAAATTGAAAAGGATGGCGGGAGTTGACACAGGCTATAAACCTTAGTTCACTTGGGAATCTAAACAGATCATAGTTATTGCTCTCTTTATCCAGTGGTGTGTATACAGGTATATTTGTCTATGCCAGCATGCATATAACAAATATGAAAAAGTACATAAAAGACTGAGCAATGGAGCTCCTCAGAAGTAATGGTTATAGGATTTTGCAATGGTGGGATTCATCAAATGTAGGGGAAGGAATGAGTCATCCGTTCCAAACCTCTGCACACCTCAAGATTCATTCCCTGAATGGTTTTCCCACTGGCTGTTTATCTGCCTTATGACTTGCTTCCAAAAGAGTTTTTTCTCTTACTCTTCCATCCTACAATCATCATTGGGAAGACATGGTATCAGCTGAAGTTTTCTTTATCCATTCAAATTTTCTGCAATTTCTACTGGTTTTCACTTACATTTAAAAGTCTGAATACTTTCACCAATGCTTTCCTGTAGCAGCTGAGGTGTGGTATCCAGAATAGTGAGTTCTTCTCTGGGTCAAGAGATGTAGGCTTGTGCTTAAGGAATATCAAGTAGGAAAGGGAGCCCAGGAGCCCCAAAGGCAAGAATATGCATACCTATTCTAAAAAAAGAAATAATATAAAATTAAAGCAATTTTCAAGTAAGAAAAAGACAAAATCCTTCTTCTTATGAAACTCTCAGTTCATGATCATTTTTAGGGGGAGGATGACAAATACATATTCAATTTCATTCAATGAAGTAACAGCAAGAACAGATACAAGGCACTGACTATGGTGTGCAGATGAGAGAGATGGATGTGCTAAACTCTTGACTCCTGTTTGAGATTCACCTGGAAACTGCAGAAGCAGCTCAGTTAAGCTCTCAGCCTTCCAGCTCCTCCTTTTGTCCCTATTGTTGCCTCTCCACATTCTCTCTGATGACTCAGGTCTCTACTGGCCTACCTCGGTTGGGATGACCTTTCAGAGCATAGTGTATGGAATTCCACATATCATTATTATTTTACACTTAGAAATAGAGGCTTAAGAGTTTCCAAGGATCTCAGAGCTTCGGTTTCAGATAGATCCTTTAAGGTGCAACTCTGAGGCATTACTCTTTTAGTAAGCACTTCCTCATTCTCAAAGTCAAGAATAGGAACAGGCAAATTCCTTTTCCTATTCCAAGTCAAATTCTGTCCTTTTTTTGTTTGTTTTAGTAAAAAGAGTTTAATTGGAACTCAGACACACTCACTTGGTTATATATTGTCTTTGGCTATTTTTCCCAGAATGGAAGAATTGAATAGTTAAGAGAAAGACAATATGGCCCACAAGCCTAGAATATCTAATGTCTAGCTCTTTACCAAAAAGTTTGCTCACTGTTGATCTACACAGATTAAGATGTTTCTCTCTTCTCCCATGACACTCACATTATTTATAACATATATTTATGCTTGTCTCCTTCACCAGACCACATTCTTATGTGTTTGAGGTTTTTGTTTTTGTTTTTGTTTTTTTTTTTTTGCTTCATGATGAATCAATAAAGGCTTAGTGGCTTGAAACAACCATCTTATTTGCTCAAAATTCTATGGATCGGGAATTCAGGCAGTACACATCACAGAAAGATTGTTGGTGCTCCATCAGAGGCTTCAGCTAAGGTGGCTCAAATAGCTAGGATCTGGCTGAGATGCCTTAATTGGGACCATGTATCTGGGGCCTCCTGTTTGCTCTCCATTAAAAACCTTACTTTTCTGCATGGGCTTCTCTCCACTGATGCTTGGGCTTCCTCACAGTATGGTGCCTGGGTTCCAAGCAGCATTCTTGCAAGCCCAGAGGGTGGACACTGCAGATATTTTTAATTAAATATTTTTTATCGTTGTTCAATTACAGTTGTCCCCATTTTCCCCCAAGGACTTTCCCTGCCCTACCCACCCCCACCTCCCACGGTCAATCCTCCTCCCCCCACACCTGTTTTCTTTGTCCATGGGTCCTTTATACATGTTACTTGCCTTGACCCTTCTTCTTTTCCCTGTTAGGCCCTGGTCACCTCCCCTCTGGTCACTGTCAGTTTGTTTTTTATTTCCATGTCTCTGGTTCTATTTTTCTCACTTGTTTGTTTTATTAATTAGGTTCAACTTATAGGTGAGATCATATGGTATGTGTCTTTTACTATTGTCTCATTTCACTAAGCATAATGCTCTCTAGTTCCATTTATGCTGTTGTGAAGTGTAGGAGTTCCTCCTTTCTTACTGCTGTGTAGTATTCCATTGTGTAAATGTACCACAGATTTTTGATCCACTCATTTATTGATGGGCACTTAGGTTGCTTCCAGCACTTGGCTATTGTAAATTGTGCTGCTATGAACACTGGGGTGCATAGCTTCTTTTGAATTGGTATTTCAGGATTCTTAGGACACAATCCCAACAGGGCAATTGCCAGGTCAAAAGGCAGTTCCATTTTCAGTTTTTCAGGAAATTCCATACTGATTTCCACAGTGGCCACACCAGTCTCCATTCCCACCAACTGTGTACTAGGATTGCCTTTTCACCACAACCTTGCCAGTACTTATTGTTTGTTGATTTGTTTATGATAGCCGCTCTGACCAGTGTGAAGCTGTATCTCATTGTAGTTTTAATTTGCCTCACTCTGATGGCTAGTGATGCTGGGCATCCTTTCATATGTCTCTGGGCCCTTTGTACGTCCTTCTTGGAGAAGTGTGTGTTCAGGTCCTTTGACCATTTTTTAATTGGATTGTTTGTCTTCCTAGAGTGGAGTTGTGTGAGATCTTTATATATTCTGGAGGCCAAACTCTTGTCAAAGGTATCATTTGTATGTATATTTTCCCATGTTGTTGGTTCTCTTTTCATTTTGCTGATTTTTTTTTTAGCTGTGCAGAAGCTTGTTGATTTGGTATAGTCCCATTTGTTTATTCTTTCCTTTTTGTCCTTTGCTCTAGGGGACATATCAGTGCAAATATTACTGTCTGGAATGTTTAAGATTTTCCTGCCGATGTTCACCTCTAGGACTTTTATTGTGTTGCAACTTGTATTTAAGTCTTTTATCCATCTTGAGTTTATTTTTGTATATGGTGTAAGTTGGTGGTTGAGTTTCATTTTTTTGCATGTAGCTTTCCAGATGTCCCAACACCATTTGTTGAAGAATCTATTTTTACTCCATTTTATGCTTCTGCCCCCTTTGTTGAATATTAATTGACCACAGAGACATGGGTCTACATCTGGGCTCTTTATTCTGTCCCACTGATCTATATGTCTGTTCTTATGCCAGTATCAGACATTTTTGATTACAGTCGTCTTGTAATATAGTTTGATACCAGGTATTTTGATTCCTTCTACTTTGATCTTCTTTCTTAAAATTTCTGAGGCTGTTTGGGGTCATTTATGGTTCCATATAAGGTTTTCAAATGAATGTTCTGTATCTGTGAAATATGTCATTGGTATTTTAATAGTGATTGTGTTGAATCTATAAATTGCTTTGGATAGTATGAACATTTTGATGATATCAATTCTTCCAGTACATGAGCATGGTACATGCTTCCATTTATTTGTATCTTCCTTAATTTCTTTCTTCAGTGTGGTGTAGTTTTCAGAGTACAGGTCTTTTACCTCCTTGGTTAGGTTTATTCTTATTTACTTTATTTTTCTTGTTGCTATATCAAATGGGATTTCCCCCCCTGATTTCTGTTTCTGATATTTCATTGTTGATGTACAAAAATTCCTTGGATTTCTGAATATTGACTTTATATCCTGCTGTTTTGCCAATTTCACTTATTAGGTCGAGTAGTTTTTTCATGGAGCCTATAGGGTTTTCTTGTACACTATCATGTCGTCTGCAATGACAATTTTACTGCCTCCTTTCCAAATTATTTTAAAGTCAAGACTTCAAAGTGACTTCTACCATATTCTGTTGGTCAAAACAAGTCACAGGGTCAGACAGAAGAGGAATAGATTCTAACTCTTGATGCCAGGGTAGAAAGGTGACATTGCATATAAGCATGTTGGGATGAAATATGATGGGGGAATCTTTGGAAACATAACCTACTGAGTTTTGCTTTCTTCATTTCTCTGCGCATAACTTCTAGCATAGGGTTCAACAAATATTTTTCAACTAAACAAACGAGTTAAAAGAAATGAAAGACTAGACTTTGAAGATAAACTTAAGTATGAATTCCAGTTTTGCCACTGCTCTGTAACTTTGAACAATTTGTTTAAACTCTCTGAGCTGTTTTATTCTGTATCAAACTAGAATAATAATGCCTGCATTGTAGATATTTATGTTTGTTATACAAGTTGGGAAACAATGTATATAGGCAGCCTATACAGTGACTAGAAGATATAGATTTTTAATAAAGGGAACCAATATTATTAACATTAATAATAATAATACATTTTGAGGAAAATGTCTTTTCCAAATGTTAAAATAAGGGCATAGGTCACCAAAGAATGATTTCTCACTTTCAAATCTAACTTTCTCTCTGTTCTTTAAACACACTAATCTCTTTATCACATAAAATCTTTCACACTTGGTGCCTCCTTCATTTGGAATAGTCTGCTAGTTCTTACTGGTGTGGTTGGCCACACACATTGCAGGCTGTAGTCTCATTTTCAACTCCAATGAGTCCTTTCATAACTATCCTGCATGAAGTAGTGCCCATCCCTTTCTGGTTATTTACATTCTCATCACCCTGTTTGTTTCTTTTAAAGTACTTGTCACAATTTAAATTAACCTTTTATATTTATTGGGTTGACCAAAAAGTTTGTTTAGTTTTTTTTCTGTGAAATAAAAGACATATTTTTCATTTTTACCAATAACTTTATTGATTTGGATATTTTTAGCATGTTGGCTATCTTCTGCATGGTATAACATTGATTGTTCTCAATTATTGTTTTGATTCGATCATCATCAACTTGAACTGGTCCACCCAAATGTAGAGCATCGTCCAATGAGATACCTCCAGCACAAAACTTCACAAACCACTTTTGACATGTTCCATCAGTCACAGCACCTTCTCAATACACTGCCCAGGTCTTTTGTGTGTGTGTTTCAGTTGTATTTTTACCTTTCTTGGGATAAAGCATAATATGCTGAAAATGTTGTGTATTTTCTTTCATATTCAATATTAAAATGGCTACACAAAAATTCACCAGTTTTGCTAAGTTTTGTTAATGCACACTGATATGGCAGCTGTTCACAATACAATCTAATAAAATTGTTTCAAATGAAGTTAAAGATAACTAAATGCTACAAGAGCCATGTTATGGAAAAGAAAACAAACAAAATTTTGGCCAACCCAATATTTATTTGTTTGCTTATCTCTCTTTTCTCTCATTAAATAGAATCTGAACGTAGGCAAGAGTCTTGCATGCACATTCCTGGATCTCTGACCCTAGCTATAGCATCCTGGTTTATAATAGGCAACCAGCAAATATTTATTGAATTAATAAATAAATAAAAGGATGAATGAGATATCACTCATCCCATCACTTTCTTTCTCTTTCTCTCAACTCTCTTGGCTATCATACCTACTTATTTATTTCCAATCTCTTGTTTCTCTTGAGATTGCTACCATTAAAATAAGGTAACATGAGATAATTAACCACTATAACCATTTCTTTTTAAACCAGATAGTTGAGAATATGGGGGTTGGGTGCTGAGACCTTTATAAACTTGTGTTTTAAGTGGTCTGACATATGATCTGAACAATTTCCTTGATGTTTTATTAGAGTTGGAAAATCATTTATTGAGGCAGCCTTTACCTAAATCCTCCCCAACATTCCATAAAATGCTTTTAGCACAGATACTGTACTGCCTATCTTCAAAGATATATATATATATGGTTGGCCAAAAAAATCATTTGTTTTTTTCCATAACATGCTCTAGTAGCACTTAGTTGTTTTTAGCTTCATTCAAAACAATTTTGTCAGATTGTACTGACAGCTGCCACATCAGTATGCATTAAAAAACTTATTGGAATTGGTGAATATTTGTATAGCCATTTTAATATTGAAGATGGAAGAAAATACACAGAATTTTTGGCATATTATGCTTTATTATTTCAAGAAAGGTAAAAACACGACCAAAACACACAAAAAATATTTGTGCAGTGTATGGAGAAGGTGCTGTGACTGACAGAACTTGTCAAAAGTGGTTTTCAAAGTTTTCTGCTAGAGATTTCTCACCAGGCAGTGCTCCATGGTCAGGTAGATTGTTGAAGTTGGAAATCAAATAGAGACATTAATTGAGAACAATCAATGTTATACCATGTGGCAGATAGGTGAGATACTCGAAATATCCAAATTAATAAAGTTATTGTTGAAAATGAAAACCGTGTCTTTTATTTTATGAAAAAAACATACAGACTTTTTGGCCAAATACACACACACACATATATACATATGTACATATATATACATATATGTATATATATGTACACACACATGTATATATATATAGATATATTTGTGTGAGAAGTATGTGCTCCAGTGCATCAAGCTTAAATGTATGCATTTTCTCTCTCTCTCACTCTCTTATTATATGGTCTGTCTTTCTCTCATCCATGCTTCAACTGAGCTTGCTGATTTGTGTAAATTTGGTAAACTCCTAAAATTTCAGTAAGTCACAGATTCTAATTTTTTTAAATGTATAGTACCTTTAGCTAATTGATTGTATGTTTATCTCAACTGTAGCTACCAATAATTAAAGAAAAATTTCTTTTTTGTTGTTTTTTTATTATTGTTATTTTTTAATCATTGTTCAAATACAGTTTTCTCCTTTTTACTCCCAATCCAGTCCTCCCTCCCACTCTCCGCACTTCCCTCCCATTACCACCCTCCCCTTAGTCTATGACCATGTGTCCTTTAAGTTTGTTCCTGTGAACCCTTCCCACTGTCCCCTTAAATTTCCTCTTCTCTCCCATCCAGTCACCATCAGCTTGTCCTCTATTTCAGTGTCTTTGGTTATATTTTGCTTGTTTCTTTGTTTTGTTATTTAGGCTCCTGTTAAAGGTGAGATCATATGGTATTTGTCTTTCACTGCCTGGCTTGTTTCACTTAGCATAATGTTTTCCAGCTCCATCCAAGCTGTTGCAAAGGGTAGGAGCTCCTTCTTTCTTTCTGCTGCATAGAATTCCATTGTGTAAATGTACCATAGTTTTTTGATCCATTCATTTACTGATGGGCATCTTGGTTGCTTCCAGCATCTAGCTATTGTAAATTGTGCTGCTATGAACATTGGGATGCCTAGGTTCTTTTGAATTGGTGTCCCAGTAGTGGAATCGCAGGGTCAAAAGGCAGATCCATTTTTAGTTTTCTGAGGAAGTTCCATACTGCTTTCCATAGTGGTTGTACCAGTCTGCAGTCCCACCAGCAGTGCACTAGGGTCCCCTTTTCTCCACAACCTCTCCAACACTTGTTGTTTGTTGCTTTGTTTATGATGGCCATTCTGTCTGGTGTGAAGTGGTATCTCATTGTGGTTTTAATTTGCATCTCTGATAGCTAGCGATATTGAACATCGTTTCATGTGTCTTTGGATTTTCTGTATGTCCTCCTTGGAGAAGTGTCTGTTCAAGTCCTTTGCCCACTTTTTAATTGGATTCCTTGTCTTCTTAGAGTGCAGTCGTGTAAGTTCTCTATATATTTTGGAGATTAAAGCCTTGTCTGAGGTGTCATTGGCAAATATGTTTTCCCATACAGTTGGTTCTCTTTTTAATTTTGATACTGTTTTCTTTAGCTGTGCAGAAGCTTTTAATTTTGATGAGGTCCCATTTGTTTATTCTTTCCTTTATGTCCCTTGCTCTAGGAGACAAGTCAGTAAAAAAGTTTCTTTGTGAGATATCTGAGATTTTCCTACCTATGTTCTCCTCTAGGACTTTAATGGTGTCATGTTTTAT